GTAGGGGGCTGCAGGCCTTATCACACTCACATTGGCTTGCATATTGTCTCACATTTGTCGTATGTTGATGATCTCATTATATATTCAAATGGTAATAAAAGAACCCTCAGTAAGGTTTTCAATTTACTCAATTTATATGAGAAGTGTGCAGGTCAGAAGATCAACTCCACTAAGAACTCTTTTTATATTGCCCCTAATCCGTCTCGTACATGTGCTATGATTAAATCTATCTCCCATATGAACAAGGGCTCTTTTCCCTTTAAGTATCTCGGTGTTAATATTTTTTTGGGGCGTGTTAAGAGTTCTTACTTTTTGCACTACCTACACAAAATTGACCTTAGACTTGCCGGGTGGAAGCATAGACTTCTTTCCCCAGCCGGCAGAATTGTTCTCATAAAGCATGTCTTGTCTACCATTCCATTATATCCCATGGCCTCCTCCAATGTGCCGAAAAGCATTTTGAAGGATATTAAAAAACTTTGTATTAACTTTCTTTGGGATAGGAATAATGCTACCACTAAGCACATATGGAGATCGATCATGGGATAAATGCTCCTTTCCTACTAACGAAATGGTCTTGGTTTTTGCAGGCTTGCTGAGGTTCAACGTTGTGTTTTACTGAAACTGTGGTGGAAAGTGGATGCTAATAATAGCATATGGGCCAACCTGTTTAATGCTCTGCGCAATTCTCGTCATTCTTACTTTTGGAATTCTATGTACTCTGTAAAGCGTTTATATAGTGATAACACCTTGTGATTGTGCATGATGGGAGCAGATCCTTTTGGGACTCTTACTGGAGTCCCTTAGGACCCCTGCACTCCCTTATCCCGGATACCGACTATGTCGCTAACCTCGCCATTCGGAGTGCCTATAATAACTTAATTGACCATGTGGGAAACCTTCCCCAAACCGTTCAAGACGTTTTGTCCCTTAATGCTCCTAATTTTGATGATGAGGCTGATGTGATTGTGTGGAAAAGCTCCCGAAGTGGGAACTTTAAATTCAAATTAGCCTATGATGATATCCGAACCAAACGCCCCAACTGCAAAAGCCTGGAGATTATTTGGCATAAGCCGATTCCCAAAAAAAATTCTTTTACCTTTGATGGGTCTTAAATGGGTTAGTTATATGTGCTGAAACCTTAAATAAATTTGTTTTTTTGGCCCGTTTAAATGTCCTAATTGCAACCATCCCGATATTATCTCCCACTATTTCCTAAATTGTGGCCATAATAGCTTCATTTGGTCTCATTTCAAAATTAATATCGGGGTTTTGGATGGCAGCCTTAAGGATAATATTATGAAGTGGACCAAAAAGGATAACTTTCTAACTTATGTTATGATTCTTTGGAATCTTTGGAAAATGAGGAATGCCAAATTACTTCAGGACAAAACCATTTCGCAATCTGAGGCCATTTTTGAAATTAAAAAAGATCTTCTTGCTTTTTCGCACAATCACAAGCCGAACAAAGAGCCCTCACCGGCCAGACCTATTACCATTAAATGGCACCCCCTGATACAAACAAAATCACCATCAATTTGGCTACTACCCAAACTGGCCTTGCTCAAAATACGGCTTTCCTTGTTAGGAACCACAAAGGAAGTCTCCTTGCCATTGGCACTCAAAAGGTTACCGCTAGATCCCCCCAAATTGCTCTTATAAGCTACATCTTATACGTTTTGATTTTTTTGCAACAATAAAAATCGGGTGATTGATTCCATCCAAATAGATGACAAGAAGGTTGGTCAAGCAATTAGGTCGCATTGTGTTGGTTATTGGGATGACATCTAAACTATTACCCGCATTCGAAGAATTTTGAATAGGCAATCTATATCTCTTGAAGTCATTAACAAGGCAGTCAACAATGCCGCACGATACATCAGTGAAGGCAACAACTCTCAAACTACTCAGTTTACCAATATCCTGAAATTTGATGCCATATGATTCCCTTATGCTGCTTTGTATTTAGAGTAGGCTTCGATTTGGTCTTCCTACTCTTTGTAATAACTTTTCTTTTAATAAAAAAATAAAAAAATGTATGTGGAGTATATTTAGTGGGTTTTTCAACATTACTCCGTACTAATAGAAAGTCATGATAAAAATATTATTTTTTAGTAACTATTAGTGACTATAGTTATATTTAAAATATACGGAGTACATCATAGTAACTTACATGTAATTACCAATATGTAACTTGAACTCGCTTATAGTTACTAATAGTTACTAAGTAATATTTTTGTCCATCACATTTTAAAGAGTAATATTAATGTATATGACACATAATATTGCTAAGGGTAAAATAAATAATATACCCCGAACTTTGCCTTAGTGTGAGTTCCCCACCCCGAACTTGTCCTAGTTTAAAAAATACCCCCAACTTTATTTATTTAAATTTTTTGTACCATATTTTAATTAACAAATAATATTTCTCAAATTATAATATGTTAATTAGATTTAGTTGTCAAAAAAAGATTAATTAACATATTTTTTGTACTTAAATTAGAGATTTTGAAGTTATTTAATCAATTTGAAAAGCACACATTAATTTGGGAATCACACATCTTTTTTTGCCAACTAAATCTAATAAAAATATTACAATTTGAGAAATATTATTTGTTTATTAAAATATGGTACAAAAATATTAAATAAATAAAGTTCGGGGTATTTTTTAAACTATGACAAGTTTGGGGTGGGGAGCTCACACCAAGGCAAAGTTCGGGGTATATTATTTATTTTCTTGCTAATATTTATTCTTTGCACATACGTAATAATTTTTTTGCTACTTATTTTTACAGATAAAAGTTATAATTGATCAGGGATGGATTCAAGATTTAAAATCAAGGACGGAATTATTTTTTCCCACTACTGTAGGCCAGAGGCGATTTTTTTTACACTGGTGTAACGGCTTTGTTATTTTTTTATTCAAAATATTTCATTAGTACATACACGACATTTAAATCTGCCACCCTCTAAGTTTGCACAATGGAAAAAATAATTTTGATTTTACAATTGAAGTGCTCTAGAAAAAAGTATTGATATATTAAAGCGTAAATAATGACAAACCAATGGAAAATCATTTGAAAATAAAAAAGGATAGAGTTTTTTCAAATTATTTGAAGATAAAGTCTAAAATGTACACATCTACTAAGACTTTTTAAATAACATATGCCTTGTTTAACCGCATGAATAATCTTCTCAGTATAAATAATTGATTTTTGAATTACACTTTTTGTCTATCAAGAGTATTCGTAAGTCACGAGAAGTTTTCTAAATATTACAATAATAGGTATGGGATTGTTTCTTTAAATATTATTATGTTGCTAGTGCATATTATTTGCATGAATGATATAATAAATTAAAATTTATTATATTTGCAATAAATTCTTTTTAGAAAGTAAGAAGTAAATGAATTGTATAATTTAATGTCATACAAACGTTTATATGGAGTACTTTTTAGTCACTTTACATTACCTAATTGTTGTGTTGATAAGCCTCATAAGACGAAAAATAGGGTAACCAAATGGGCTCTCTATTTGTCAATACATTGCTCACTTTCCCTAATCCCAATTTTATCTATTCTCTCACTTTTTACGACATGCATCAACGAGTAATTATATATGAACTCCTACATTATTTCATTTTCTTTCTACTTCGCATCTTAGTTTAGAATTGTAATTTTTTAGTCATTTTATTTGTATGCCATTCTATCATCTCACTTCATTGCACTTATTTTATTTATATACTAGCATATATTCACTTAGTAATGGATTGCTAACCAGAATTACCATTCCCAAATTCGACAACCTCGTATTATATAACTACATACTACATTTTTATACTTAGTACCGTTTTTCTCTTATTCCACACGTCAATTTTTTCATCAGTGGGCTTTGGCAAATAACAACCAATATAATCTATTTTTTGACGTTAAAGTATTCATTGTCATGCACAACTTAATTTACTACTCGAGCACTCAAAAGTTTGGAGTATATAATGTCAGAATCTACACGGAAGAATCCTAGAGGCTTACACCTCAGATGGCTGATGTAGAATGTGCCACTAGACTTGTACAAATAAGTATCATTATTTTTTATTCACATGCATGTTTATATTCAACTTAGAATAGCATTTGTTATTTTATATAGACCTATCACCTATCCTAGAAATCATAATATATTCGGCGCCTTTAGAACATTGGAAAAGATCATATCCCGCTGGAGGGATAGGATGCTATGTCCAGCCTCCACCATTTGGGGCGGTTTCAGGTGGAATTCTTTGATGAGATTTTTTGAGCATGTTACTCATCAAGACTAGTTTATACACAAAACATTTTCAACTAAAAATGCAACCAGGAAGGTAGGCAAATAATTTTTTGAATATAAATGTGTTTTATATGTATATTTTGGCGCAATTATCTTCAAAATATTATTTGACTGTATTTTTGATTGAATTTGAAACTGAAATGTTTAATGAATAAACTAGACTTGATGATAAATATGCTCAAAAAATTTCATCAAACAATTCCACCGGGAATCGACCCAAACGGCAGATGCCAGACGGAGAATCATGTCCCTCCGGCTGGACAGGATCATTCCTCATACTCTTATTACTTTTATTGTTATTTTAGATCTATCATTTATGAATTCCAAGCACATTCAGTAACTTGTTCTAATTTTAATCTTTTTATACATTTCAATGTATCACTTTTCGATATCTTCAATATTAGAGTTACTTTTACTAAGGTTTAGGTGATTAGTAGTAAAATTATAATTATTCTATCCATTCGATAAGTGTTCTTAAATTATGTGAGTTAGATAACCTACACAGATAAATAAGTAAGGACATAACATATCTCAGGGATGTGAAAGTTTAAAGTCGGAGAACTTTATGATAATTAATTCGTAAAATTATATACAAAGTATATATTTAGAAAAATACTATAAATTGGGAGATATGGTTAAATTTAGATTCAAAATAATTGTAAAAGTTAGCATTATCGTGCAAAAGATCAATTCAGAAGTGACCTTTAATTAAAAGGAAGCTTTGCTTGAAATGGGATGACTGAGCTAGATTAGGTTAGCTAACGTACACAAAGACTTGTTTGACACATGACATTTGGTTGCAAATAAAGATGAAATTGTATATTCTATTTTATGTTTGTTTTATAGCTCGTTAGACAAGACTCAATTGGGTGAGACAGCTAAACTACCCAATTTATCAGGCTAAAGGATCTTTATCTATGAGATCAAACTTACTCTAGTTAGGAGCCAAAAGATGAAACCTCTTGTGATCCAATTCTCCTCAAATGTGTTGACTCTTCAGGATCACGAAGACCCCAAAGCCTTTTTTGTTGTTGCACAATCAAAACTGAAGCTTCCCCTTGGAAATCAGAACTTGCAAGAACTTGTCCCACTGCCCCTATTCCGCCACACTCATTCACCCACTTCTTGAGCTGAAACATCACTTGTGAGTCGCCATGGCGTCTCCCGACCATGATGAGGTCATACATGGATCCCATCGGCCCAATTACACCCACTACATCTATTCCATCATTCACTTCCACCTCTGTGTATGAAACTCTCCCACATTGAGAATGGATATTCAATCTCATGTCACTCGTTATTTTTGAATCCAACGTTTTACTTCTCTCTGACCCAGCCACAATCTCACACGATGATGAGCTGACGAATCTAATGATCACGAGTGTCACATTAGGATGCCCTGAGATGCGACGTGCATAAGCCAATGCTTCTCGGTCATCTGGTCCACCAAAGAAGAGCATTGCGACTCGGTATGGCGAAGGCACGTCTACGAGAATCCTTGAGTTGTTGTTCATATTTCCTCGATCAATTAGAATCCCGACCGAACAAGGTGTGCTTTTAAGTACATTACTGTTTAGCAGCCTTTGTGCATATGATGATTCTACCCTTCTCCCGAAAGTCCATTGTTTGTGGTACGGGAGAATGATGAGAGTGGTTCTCTTCTCTACAGCTAAAGAGCATACGTCGTTGTGCATTGATGCAAAAGGAGAGACACCTTTGTAGCATTGTATGGATAAAGATTCTTGATTTTTTTGCTCAAGTTGTTTGAACGCGTTGAAGATCTGTTCAGATAGTGTTAGATTTGGGAGTGCATTATCCTCATCGTCTCGGTTTGTGTGGCGAATAAGGAAAGAGGAGGCTTGACCTATGAGTTTCACGAGATGAAGAACGACCAAGTTAATATGGCTTTCTCTTGTTGGGTTGGAGATTTGAAGGAGAGTAAAGATTCCGCTGACATTTTCTTTCTTTTGTATGCAAACAAGTATGCGGAGTTCATCCTTAAGGGTACTATGCAAAATAGTTCTTCGCCTGTAAGCAATCCACCGTCTTGATGGATCATATATTAGCTTTACAAGCGGGGAGATGACGCCTGTTATAACAACCATTGAGATAATCAGAATAGCATAGCATTCTTCTGTTATTACCTGCATATAATTAGTGAGTCTTAATTAAACTAATTGAGTGTCTTCTAGTGGATTTTGTTTTTTGTAATTTCACATAGATGATAGATTAATCAATATTTGCTTGGTCTTATATAAAATTAAATGATGTTATACGTTATATTAGAGAAAAACGGAAAATAAGCCCTTAGACTATTAGTGATTCTCCCATGAGGTCCTTGAAGAAAAAGATATTAAAAATACAATCCTCATTCCATTGAAATAAAGCAACCAGATCCATTTTTACTGTCTGGTGCAGGTAAGGCGGTAACATTCTCGTGAAAATTTACCACCACTAGGTAAAAAAAAGCTTGATTGTAGAATCACTAATAGCTTGAAGGCTTATTTATCCATTTCCTTTATATATTATGATCAAACACACTTTTCATCTGGGAGGTTACAACTTTTTCATTAGATTCCTATAAATTATTTTTAGTAATACATCTTGTGTGTACATATTTTTATCTTTTTAGTCCTTATTTGTCAACCCCAATTAAAAAAGAATCTAATGTTGACAACAAAACTCTCATCTCCCATATGATCCTATTCATATCAACTTTCTCCAACTCATTATCAATTATTAAAAGAGTTCGGCTAATTGATAGTAACAATTCAAACAATTAATTACACCTCTAACTTTTGGAAAACGACATATAAAGTGTGACTAGAGTTTTATGACCCGTATAAGTGCGTCATGTGCAAATTGACGGTGAGCGACAAAGAAAAAGACGTGAAATATAAACAATAAAAAATATTGTGACATAAGCTAGACAATGTTATATATATATATATATATATATATATATATATATATATATATAGAATTAGGTTTAAGTGAGAAAATGATCTTAGGAGAGAAATGAGAATGAATCTGGACCGATAGATTGTAATCTGTGAAATTGAATGTGCATTTAGTGAAACTCAAATATGCACTAGGTGAAATCGAAATGTGCAGTATAAAAGATAAGCCATAGTGGTATTATGTGAAACTGAATTGTGTATTAAGGTAAAATGAAATGTGCACTAGGTGAAATTGAAATGTGCAGAAGAAAACTATGATGTGGTGGCATGTGTTTGTGCCTTTTATTCTACACATTTCAATTTCACGTAATGCACATTTGAATTTTACTTTTCATTCTCCACGTTTCAATTACATTTAATGCACATTTCAGTTTTATCAAATGTACAATTCAACTTCACATCATACAATCCAACGGTCCAGATTCATTGTCATTTCTCTCCTGGGAGTCTTTTCACACTGGAACCACTCCATATATATAGGGTAAATGACTTTTAAATACCTTAACTAATACATAGTATCTTTTTGTATGTCTCATTAATAAACGGTTACAAAACGTGAGATAAGTAGCAAGTAATACATGTGGTACAAAAATGGCTTACTTGGGCATGTTTGAACTCAATCAATAATGCAAGCTCAACAATCCCTTTCGAGTTCATGATGAGCGCAAGAGAGATGGCATCTCGAAGTGGCATCCTATAGAGTAGAAGGGGAAGCATTGTGCCCACGGTCTTCCCTATGAAAGCAACCAAAACAATGGTCTGAAGCACACCCACATGTTTCAACTTCTTTATAGAGAAAAAATTTGTTTCCACCCCACATATAGTGAAGAATAAAGGCATAAGCATAACAGACACAAATGAATCAAGTCTTTCAACTATAGCAGCTCCAAATGGCGGTCCATCGGGTATTACCAAACCAAGAAGAAAACAAGCAAAAATACCACTTAATCCAATAACCTCTCCGACAAATCCACAACTCATTATTGCGATAAGTACAACAAAAATGTAAATCTCTTTCACAGGTTTTTCTTGTGGGGTATTTTTGGTTGCCCATAAGGCAGCAGGGTGGACCACAAATGCCAAAAAGCCAACAAACAGGGCAGTAGAGAAAAAAGAACCAAGGGATGCTAATAAGGATTGATCCTTTGCAAATTTAGCAGCATACCTCAAACCCATCATTGACCAATGACAAATGTCACATATAATTGATGAAGAAGAAACTAAACGACCAATCTCAGAATTAAGAATCTTGAACTCAGTGAGGAAACAAGCAATAACAGGAAAAGCTGTCATGGATTGCATTATAACGACTTGAGGGAGCACCTTGGATATCTCTTTATCTAAGGATATGAATCTCTCAAGAAGAAAGAGAGTGAAGTTGGCTAGTCCAAAAGAGACAAAGTAGCCTAGAAATCCTACAATCAATGCTTTTCTACTCAACTTGAGAACCATTACGGGATTAATTTTCACCCCAACCAGAAAAATGAAAAGCATGAAACCGAAAATTGATAATGTATCAAGTATCCCTCCATCTTTAATGGGAAACACTTCTGTTAAGAAAGCTCCATTCCTCCCGAGGACCGATGAACCCAATATAACACCACCCTGAGCCAATAGGAATGATTAATTACGCACAAAGTAAAATAAAAATGTAACCAATTTTATGTATTAAGTAATTTATCTATTTAATATAATGATACTTCATAAACGAATTATATTATGGTTCATAGTAGTAAGGGGAAATCATGAAAGATTGTATTTAACGATTAACATTCAATCTTCAATTTTACAGTGTTAATAATTTGATTTTTGCAATGTAAAAATTTTCAAATTTGATTGAAAATTGAACATTGAATTAGAACTCACAAGAATCTGAGAAACAATGAGGGGCTGGCCGAAAGGCTTGAGAAGGATTTGCATGACCCTTGTGATGATGGAGATGAGCGAGAGCTGCAATAATAGAGAAGGAAGAGGGTGAATCAGAGGATTGTCTTCATAAAACAAACCCTTGGAACTGATTTCCCCAAAGCTATTACATTGGGCGGGGACGTGCGGCACCACCGCATCGTTCTTCATGGTTGCTACTCAGTCGTACACCGCCACACCGAACCACCACATACATTGGAATGGAACGCACAATGATGAATCACGTCATAACATTACAACTTAAAGCGGTAAAATATGTAAGATATATGGGAGTGACAATATAATGGCGGAAAGAGAGAACAACCATTCTACTATGAGGAGAAATTTGAAAATGAGAATTAAGTATGAACGGACAAGCAACATCCATTCCCAACAATAATTTCTCTGTAATAATTTCAAAATATTTCTTTGAGAAAATTATCAAACATCCACATTCCATGCACCATCTTACCATTCTTATCGGCCTTCGTCATCTTAGTGGCCCTTAATTTTAAGTCAATGCTAGAAAAATATTATAGTTTGAGAGATATGAATACCGTCAATACATTTTAGACTTGCACAAAAATGGGTTCGGGCCAGGCTCAGCTCGGGCCGGGCTTTTTATAATTTTCTGCCCATTATGTGTGGGTGGGCCCGGCCCGACCCGCAAAAACGGGCCTACCTACATGTCCATACCCGCCCATGAGAGCGGGCCGGGTAGTCCACCAGGCCGCCCGGCCCAAGAAAACGTTAAATTTTTCAAAATTATATAATTTGTTTTAATACTTTGTTAATGCGCTTATGATGTCTTTCACCACATATACAAGAAATACTTATACAAAAATAATCATGAGAAACTATAACTAAAACTTAAAATTCAAGCACAAAATATTATCCTTAAATAAAAAAATAGATATTATATTGGGTTGGGCTAGGTGTTGAAAATTAAAAACTTAAAATTTAACATAATAAAATATTCATATGTATTATGATAAATTAGTAAATAAAAATATACACAGGTAAAGAAATAAATTAGTATGTATATACATAGCTATATATATGTATATATACTAAATGTATCGGGTTGGGCCCGACCCAGTGGGTAAACATACATGCCCAAGCCCGTCCATTTGTGCAAGCGGACTGGGCAGGCCGGGCGGGCTGGCCCGTTTTTGTGCAGGTCTAATACATTTATATATGATATAGTTAAGGTGGGTTATATGATGCCATGTATTTGTGCCGTATGATAGTTGGATATTCATCTAAATTTTACAATTTAATGTTCTAATTTGTTGATTGTGAAGGAATGAATGCTTTTCAAAGAAGAAAATAATGTCTCTACCACATGAATCGCGTTATTATTGTGGAGTCAGTTGTTTTTAATTTATGAGATTTTCAAAAGAATATTACTGAAATAAAATACATGAAATAATATTTGAACATAATTATTATCACTAGATGTTTCATTTTCGTCCACTATTCTTATTTCGATCATATTAGAGATTATTTCTTAATTTATATATTTATATTCAATTCTCACACTTCATATTTATTCTTACTTTTTTTAATTGTTGGGTGATATGATAGAATTTATAGTGTAATGCCTAGGATTTAGGATATAGGATATATAGCTTAGGAATATTTCGTTTTGGGCCCATTCTAATATAAAAACATGTAGATTTCAAAAAAATAGAAAGATGTAAGGTTTGAATTAAAAGAAGTCCATTATGGTAACAAATAATAGTAAATTCTCTTTGTTGACTATTTAGAAAAAAATCTTTTGGTGATTAACAAAGTTGGACGGATCATAATTTTAATTTGGGAATTTTTCACAAATAGACTAAAAAGTGAAAAAGTAATATCACTTTTGTCACCCTTAAAAATTTCTTTCAAATATAGATTTCTCTTTTCAAAAATAGACCACTTCACGTCTGAAGCATTCCGACTCAAATTTCTTTTCCTCAGCCGACACTGATGCCCGTAAAGTTTGAATCGGTGATTCAATGCTTCCCATTTCACAAACTAATACGTTAGTACAAAGAATCTGTATGCACTCAGCCTTTATTTTTAAATTGAAAATGTAAAAGTTCATTAACTCATGTAGTTGGTAATACTTAGAAAATAATAAAATTAAAAAAGGATATTCATTTTAAAAAAACATAACCAACTCAAAATAATATAAAAATCCAAAAAATGCAAAATTAGAAAATTGTATATTAAATTTAAAATTAAAGAAAATGAATTTTAATTTAAAAAATAAGCTAGAAAAATAAAAATAAAAAATGTAGAAATCTAGAAAAAAAATTTGATTTTTTTTGAAATGTAGTGTTTTTAAATAGATAATATGTTTTATTTTATAAATAGAAAAAACCCAAATGTTTAATAAAAACCAGTATAAAATAGTTAAACATTCATAACCATAAAATTATTAAAGATAGGTAAAATCAGATAAAAATATTTTTAAAATATTAAATAATATGAAAAATAATCATAATCTTTCGTGAAAAAATATTTGTTCTAAAAAATTGAAAAATATACCGATTAAAGAAAATAACAATTCAAATAAACATAAAAATTGAAATCATTTTAAAAGTTAAATTAAATTTTATATTACAGTGGCAAAAATAAAAATATAATATATAGATTCTTACAACATCAGAAAATTATTGTAACCTGAAAGACTTTAAAATTAAAATATACTCACAGATTAATAATATGAAAAATTAAAATAATGAACTTGGGAAAAAATTAAAAAAAATTGGAAAAAATATACCAATTATGTAATGTAATATTTTTAAAGGACTTAAATAATTTTAATAACTATTATTTCATTATTTGTTTTTGTTGCCTATTGTTTCTATATGTTTCTTTTTGTTTATGATTATGAAATTTTTGTTTTTTGTTGTTTCTTTATGTTTCAAGTTGTTTACTTTCATAAATCTAAATTTATCATTTTAGGTGTTTGTTTATAAATCTACATCGACATTTTAATTCTAAGGAATTCGCAAAGGTAATAAAAACCTAAATAAAAAAACAAAAATCTAAATCAATAAAACAATAGGCAACATGATGCAACAAAAAGCAACATATTACAACAAAAAGAAACATAATGCAACAATAAGTGATACACATGATACAACAATAAGAAACAAAAACTACATACAAAAGTGTCACAATAAGTATATAATTCAATGCGTTAATTCATTTATTACATGTATCTACTCTGTATTATATCATTTGATTTTGCTTCTTCACATTCTTCTCCCACTTGTGGAATTCAACACACAATCCATTACTTCTTTTTCTGTCTTCATTCACTTGTTGATCTTGAAAACTGCCACAAATAACAGCACAAGTGTATCATATTGAAAACTGCATAACAAAACACTAGATCAATATAGAAAATGAGGAATAAACCTTGCTGTGAGTGCATTAGTTGTGGAAAAAGGAAGTATAACAAAGACCGCAACACAGATACAAATCAAGTGATAGGTTCGAGTTTAAATCATTTAGTGATGATGTCAGTCGAGAAACACAACACAAATCATTGGTCGTGAGTGCATTAGTTGTGGCAAAAGGAAGTATAGCAAAGAAAAACATCAACTACCTATGTCCACGTTTATAATTTGCAAAGCAAGGAAGCTCAAGGCGATAGACATACTGGAAATTCATCCTGAATCTTTTCACTCACATTGCTCAAGGTTGGAGGAAAAAGTACTATGGACCCTCTGTCATCCATTGCAGCAGAGCCATTTCATAAGTGGGAGGGAGGGAGTTCTTTTCATTCAATATTGAATTCTCATAGAAAATTGTCTGAAGAGTAAACTTTGAGCAAAGAAAAACAAAAAACGTAAATCAGAACGAAATCACAAAAACACAGAACATAAGCAATACAAATCAATAGCTGGTGAAATTTGAACAAGCTCCAACAACCAACCATAGGCGTTGAAAAGTCAGAGCATCAACCCCGTGTCATTGAATCATATCTACCACCATAGCCCACATTGAGATCTCTCATTTACATATATCATAAACACTACGCATACACATTAACTAACATACATAAACTTACTCTAATATCACCAAAATTAGAGTTAATTACTAAATTGCATATGTTTATTCTAGAGAGTGACTAGGACAAATCTATATGACAATATATAACACTTCAGAGAAATTAGCAGCCGGTTTCAGAAATTTCTTTTTGCTTTCAAAAAAGGCTTTAAGAGTTGTGTTTTGACCAATGGTTGATCATGCCTTACTAATTATACATTTAGTATGTGTAATTGTATAGATATCAAAGTATACCCCTGGGGATAGTTTCCAGCAATGTTTGGATTACTCTTTATAGATATTGGTCCCTCAAAAGAGTATTGAATAATATCAGAAACATTAATTTATTATACCTAATTAGTTTTTGTGTGCACCGATTGAATCTGATCATTTTAGATTGATCACAGGTTCTCGAATGATAAATCAAGTGTTGAGAACTACCTCATAAAGTCATAAGTCATAAGAAATGCTACAAAACCAGATGAAGGTTCTAATTAGATATATATTTTCCATAGATATTGTGGAGTCATAATCACATCTTGTCTAATTTGAGATTAACTTTAGAAAATTAGGTTAGAAACTTACAAGGTTAGAAATCAAGCTGGATTTGGCAATTTCAGATGAACTAAGGAGGACTGGAGGTATTACCTTTTTCCCGAATTCGTTCGTGGGCTAGGAGTGCGGCGATCCAGCGAGGCTAACAAGCTACGACGACAAAGAAACGGCCGGCGAGTTGCTGGTCCGGATTGCAGCGACCGACGACTGCGGTGAATATAATTGGCGTCGCTGTTCACAGAGGCTGGAGCACAATGCAAGGACTGGAGAAAAGAGAGGAGAGTGAAGGTCCAAGTAGAGTGGGAGGAGGTGGAAGGAGGAAAAGGATAAAGGGATGAATCTGCTTGCCTGTCTCTAGTCTACCGGTCTACCCGTGGACGAGGAAAGACAAGTCTAAAACTGAAATAAATAAACATAATTGAAAACACGAAAGGTTAAAAATGAAAAGGAATAATCATCGAGACATAAATGATATGTGCCACACAAAAGTGGACCGTAGGAGTAATTTCCACTTTTAATTATTATATGCCAAAATTACTGTCCGATGATCCACATCTCTATAGTTGAATATACATGAATAATCTATCTATATATTTTCCTTCAAAAAAAAAATCTATCTATATATGGGAGTGTTTGTCATTGCTTCAACTTTGAAAAAGTAATTTTTTAAAGTGATTTTGGGAAAGGTGATTAACAGTAAAAGTTGGTAGTGTTTGGGAAAATAAGTACTTTTTGTGTAATAGAAAAAATGAAAAGCAGTTTAAAGCATCATTCTACCTGCTTCTAGCTTTTAGCTTTTAAGTGATTAATTTAAGCAAAAGCCGTCATTTGAAAATACTATTTTCAGCTTTTTTAAAGTCAAAAGCTGAAAGCGCTTTTTTAAGCAACCGCAAACACTCCTTATATTAAGGGAGGTAATGGTCCGATTGGTACTCAAAGTTGCATAAAAAGTGTCAAATAAGTCCTTATATAGGAGGTTCAGTCCGGCCGTAGCCATTTGGGGTGGTTCCCGGTGGATTTTTTTGACGAAATTTTTTGAGCATCTTATTCATTAAGTCTAGTTTACTCATACCAAGTTTCAGCTAAAAATTCAACTGGAAAGGAATTCAAATGAATTCTTGAAAATAACTGCGCAGTTAAAAGCGCATTTATCTTCAAGAATTCATTTGAATGTCTTTCCGATTGAAGTTTAAGCTGAAATTTGATATGAGTAAACTAGACTTAATGAATAAGATCCTCAAAAAAATTCATCAGAAAATTCCACTGGGAAGCGCCTCAAATGGCGACGGTCGGATAGTAAGGACTTATTTGACCCCTTTTATGCAACTTCGAGTACTAATATGACCTTACCTCACTTATATTAAGTGAACTAAGTGAACCTCCCGCCAAAACCATTTAGGGCATTTTTGTAAATTCAAAATAATCTATTAATCATTATCCGTCCCTCTGCCGCCACTCGTGTGTTTCAACTTTCATGTATCTTTTCTAATGTTTCTGAAGTTCCTTCGTCTCTCAAACCTCTTGCTCCTATACTGCTTCTCATATGCTGCTCTAAGGAGAGTTCTTTCTACACACGAAATTAATTTGATGCATTTTCCCGTACACTATATAGCCCATGCTATTGCCTCTCTAGGTACGCCGTACACCGCTTCTTCTTCTTATTCCGTGATCTTCTAATTATTGTTGAATTTACTTTTCAGATTTTAGATGAGTTTTAGGTACATATAAGGCGTTGGATGAAATGTTTATATGAGAAAAAAATTACTTCTTGGGTCTTGAATTACAATAAAATCCTTTTAGATTTCTTTTAACGTGCCAAAAAACCAAAGAAGTCATATCGTGTTTGACAGAAAGTCTCATAGAGACTATAGTTGACTTGGATTCAAATCTATTTTTATTCTGATCTGATCTGAATCTGTTTGATCTAATCTGAATCTGTCTGATCTAATCTGAATCTTTCTGATCTGATCTGATTCGAATTTTTCTATGATTATAATTATAATTATAATTATTATAATCGCACTTACAAATATAATTTAAATAAAATTATAGTTGTAATTGTAATTATAATTACAATATTTATCTCCATAATTGTAACTATAGTTATCAATATTATTATAATTACTCCGTAAAATAATTACAATAGTAATAATAATAATAATATTAATAATTATAATAAAAATAATAATTATAATCATAAATTATAATGATAATATAATTATAAGTATAATTATATAATTATTATAATTATAATTAATAATAATTATAATTATATTAACATTAATTATAATACTATAATTTAATAATAGTAATATAAATACAATTAATATTATTATAACGATATTATTATATTAATATTATTATTACAATAATATAATATTAATATGATTATTATTATACTTAGTATTATATTATTATAATATTATATTATAATTATAATTATAATCATAATTATAATTATGATTGTAATTATAATTATAATTATAATAATTATAATTATAATTAATTACAATTATAATTATAATTAATTATAGATATAATTATTATAATTACAATTGATTATACTTATAATTATAAGAATTATAATTGTAATTATAATTATAATTACATTTAATTATAATATAATATTGTAATAATATTAATCATATTATTATTATTATTATTATTATTATTATTATTATATTGTAATAATAATAATAATAATAATAATAATAATAATAATAATAATAATAATAATAATAATAATAATAGTCTTCTTAACAATTGCATTTATATTACTATTATTATATTAAAATATTATAACTATTATTAATATATTTTTTTATCATATTATTATTAATATTATTAATAATAATTATATAATAATAATCATAATAGTAATAACAATATTAATAATAATAATTAATATTTAATATAATAATAAAAATGATAAATCATGTTTGAACTTTTCTGATCTGATCTGAATGTTTCTGATCTGGTCTGATTTGATCTGAATCTTTCTGATCTGATATGAATCTTTCTGATCTGATATGAATCTTTCTGATCTGATCTGAATCTTTCTGATCTGATCTGAATTTTTCTGATCTGATCTGAATTTTTCTGATCTGATCTTATCTGAATAAAATAAGAATAAGCAATAAGTAATAAGAATAAGACGAACAGAATAGCACCTTGGTGTCAACTTATACAACAAGAGGGTAACTCGGTTAGTTTCTTTCAAATCTTCAAATCTTCAGAAGTGTGGTTAGCCGGCCTCCACACTTTATCTTATTCAATTAATAATTTGGAATTTATAACATCCCAAACAGTATCTATATAAGGGATGCAAGTTTTGTATATATGATCACTAACGTAGAACAAACTGAGTTTCTTTCAAAACATACTTCAATATGACATTCTGGTCTGAAATAAGTATTTTTTTAATGCTATCCTTGAGTTCATGTGTTGTGTCCCCATTTAAGTCTGTTGGACAGACACTGATGGTCCTTATTCCAAAAGAAACCAATGCCACTAAAAGGATTTTTAAAACAGATTCTTTACAATAATTCTTACTAATGCAAGGGAACACCCCTTGAGCTAATGACCATACTTCTATTCACATTAATAGTGGGAATTCCTCCTTTTGCTTCTCTAATTGGAATGGTTCTAGGGCCCTCTGTCTAACGGTGGAAGATATTCCAATCAATTGAAGGGTATCTCTATAAAGGGTGAGATTATTGAGGGTGAGCTTATTTATGATCTTCAGTAGGTATTGTCTACTCATATCACTATTACTTTTAATGGGTCTCGCGGTCATCCTATTTGGAATATTTGCAAGCCCAATATTAATGGAGGTTTTAGTTTTAGCGGTGCCTATGATATTACGAGAGAGAAAACTGATAAACTGGCCATGGCTAAGTACATTTGGAACTCTAAAGCTCCTAAGAAAATTTCTTTTTCATGTGGAGGCTGAAAAATAAACGGTTACCTTTCGAAACTAGGCTGCATAAATTGGGTTTTGTATGTCCTTTCAAATGTTCCTTTTACAATCATGCCAGCACTGCTTCAATCATTGTAAACCTAGCTATGATTTATGGCATCACTTAAATTCTTACCTGCTCAACTTTAAATGATAGTTTCTTACAGAACTGGTATATTGGTTACATGGTAATGTTTGGGATATTATCCATACTATCCCTAACCATATGACGACAGTTTTCGAAAAAATAGAAACAGTTTTTTGTATTGTGACAAATCTTTCTCTAAATCTGCGGCCATTACTGCTATAACTAGAGATCTGTTTAATATTTTGGTTGTCTCCTCCCTTACCTGCATTATAACAACATCCCCCCTTATAATATTTGCACCATCCTCTAGAAATTTTTTAACCTTGAGCATGTTTGTTGGATCAAATCCCCTGTTCATCACCTGAAAATCAATATGACTTCTAGAGAAATTAGATTCTCTGTATCGGGATTTTAGAGACGCTACAGGATCCTACATTGCTCTCACTGCACAAACATCCTTAATATGGATGACCGTGATATGGCCCTCTACAATGCAATTTCTGAACTTTTAAAACTTTCACTGCTTGCTACATATTCCCAGGTCATCAAGTTATCATTGAAACTGAAAGTATAGAGGTTCAACATGCTATCCAAGGCGTGCACACATCACTGGAGACATTGGCAGATAATCAAGCAAATTATGTAGTGCTTTAAAGTGAATCGGGTCCACCCCTAATTTCATGTGACAATGCACATATGCTTGTTTTGCATGACTAAATAGTGCTTGCTAAACCTATATTGCTAATGGTTACTGATAATTTTTCTATTTGATACCAAGTTAAGAATGTGTTCCCTGTTTTCTAATTCTCTTTTGCATTTAAAGAAGGGAAAGATTTGTGTTCATTTTGGTAATTAACTTCGAAAGGGAACAAATCGAGAGAGATAACTTGATCCAATCCCAACAAGTTTGTTTAAACTCACGATTCAAAACCATACTCTTAGTCTTAGTCTATGTAAATCTTACCCAAAGTTATAATCTCTCTCTCTCTCACTGAGATGTATATGTACTAACCATTTCCCAATCAATTCAAGTAGCAGGTTTGGTTGAGGTCTTGAGGATAATTTTAATTTGACAAGGTCACGGGTTTTCAAAAGCCAATATATATATATATAAATATCACTCTGAAATATTTGAAACCAAGCAATTATATTTTGTAATGGCTTAACCATTCTTTGCTAAGGCCAAATTGCACATTTGTTTTTATTATTGTTGATGTCAAAGGTTCCAATTTATGCATTTCTATAATAATTAGGTGTAGCATTATATTATGTGTATACTCTATATTGATAATGTTTATAAATGTGTTATTGATACTTCTAAATGTGGCCGTTCTCAAGTATACATACAGTTTG